TTCCATTCATTCCCTTCATTCCCTTCATTCCCTTCATTCCATTCATTCCCTTCATTCCCTTCGTTCCCTTCATTCCCTTCACTCCCTTCATTCCATTCATTCCATTCATTCCTTGCATTTCATGCACTTCTTCAATCATTTCGCTCATGTCATTCATGACATTCATGGCATTCATGGCATTCATGGCATTCATGGCCTTCATGCCATCCATTTCGTTCGTTCACTTAACTTCGTTCTTTTCGCCCACTTCAGTGTTTTCGTTCGGTTCTTTCATGTTATGTCGTTTGGTTTCGTTTCCTTCATGTCTCACAAATTCCCTTCGCTCCCTTTCCCTTCGTTCCACTCGATCCATTCATTCTTGTCATTAATCTATAACAACCATGATCCACCATGAACAAGAACCACCACCAACAACACCACAACCACGAAACAACAACAGCCAGAGCAACAGCGACAGCGACGGCCACGGCCTTGGAAACAACTACAACTACAACTACTAAACAACAAACAACACCACCAACGCCAACAGCAGCCGCAGAAGGAACAGCAACCTTCAGACTGCATCCTCCCTAAACCCTAAACCCTAAACCCTGAATATTCGGCTGCAGCCTTTGCTGTCGGTCTGGCCGCGGCTCCGTAGAACGACCTGTGCGAGATTGTGCGTTTCCATGGGCTTGGGGTTTTAGAACCCCCTATTATATCCCTACTAAGGGCTGCTAGCACAAGGAGAACATCCCAAGGTTAGGGATTAGGACTTCTGGCCAGGGGGGGTCCAGAGTTCAGGGTGCAGTACGACTGCGGGACCAGCCAAGATGGCTCAAGCAAAGCTACCAGCGAATGTTACCTGACAGCCGCCGCCTTCAATCGTACATCCGATTCTTGGTTGAGAAGCGCTGAATTCACGACCGCAATCGACCGCATGTTGCAGCGCTCCACCAAGTGGCTCTAGGACTGCGAAAAAGCTATGGACCTCCGACGTTCATCGTGCACTGCTGTCGTAAGTTTGACCATCATCTTAGATTGCGCTACGCCAACTCTAAAGGGCCAAACACTAAACTGACCATCAACCAACCTTCAAAACAACGACACATGAACAACAGACGAGCATTGTTGGGCTTCTTGTGCCGGCTGCTGTCCCAACTTAGGTTTCACGGCGTCGACGTCGACTTTGTGCGAAAAAAACCTGCAGTAACCCCGCTGAACTTCAACAGGCCCAACAACTCTTTGGGTTTTGGTGCCTGGCTGACATATCATTTTTCCGCCTGCCTAGCTGACCTGGGGACGCACTGCAGGAGGGTTTGGTTTTTACCTGTGGGCCGCACGTGAGGACGCATTTGTAATCTTCATTGGTCTACTTTGTGTTTGGGCTAATGCGTACATCTCCGCCCACCTGCTCGCAGCGATAACAAAGGTCCTCCGGCCATCAAACAGGATTGTCCAACCTGTTTCACACTGCACAAATCTACTGGGAAGCTCGCATGTACAACTAATGCCTTCGGCTCCGAACACAGGCACGCCAACGGCATCGGCTGTCCGTACACACACACAAACACACACCTGCGACATCCCTCAAACCTGTTGCATCAGAGCTCTTCGTCGGTACTTTGGACTTGATTTGCATGTCCAACACAGAAACCCTTTCCACCTCTCCCGAAAATGTTCTGACCGCTAGACGCAGCTAGGCGATCTGGGAGATGCATCTCCGATCGGTCCCGTCCTGAATCGCTTCGTACACCTGCGTATCGTCGCCGCGCAAAATCTGCTCTCCGAACTTCTGCAGCTCGACCTCTCCGACTGTCAGACATTAAACCGCATGATCTGAGCTGCCAGATGCCAAGCATGAAGGATAGAATTTGGGATGCTCACCCTTAGACTAACAGTCCTTAGCCCCTAGTATAATAATCCCTATGAAGGGCTGTTAGTATTAGGGGGGGCATCCCAAGATAGAATCTTCAACGTCCTAGAACCTCCTGCCTTGGAGCCCACCGAAGGCGGCAGGTGGCCCAGGCCTGCCTCCAGCCAGGTGGCGAACTCCTCCCAGATGCTCCCACACATTCGGGGTTTAGGATAGTAGGGGTACCTTGTTGGGTCCTTATTTATAGGGTGATCCTACTACGTAGGGGTCTGTATGAGGGTCCCTTACTATCGCAAACCCCCATGTGGGTGCTTAAGCAGACAGCCATTGCTGCGAGCAACAAAAAAGAAACGCAGCCAGAGTCATGCTCATGAATTGAAAGCGAGCATGCGGTCTGGGCCTGCGGAAAAGCGGATCGGATGTTCTCCAGGATGGAGGGAATGCTGTCTTGCACATAATTTGTGGGCACCTCAGGTCGAATCTTTGGATCCTTTTGGGGTTTAATTAGGGTTTAGGGTTTCAAACGTCAGGCCGTAAACCTAGGAGCCCCTAAGCCTTCAGTGACCGCCGCTCTGGAATGCAGGGTCTTTCACTGGCAAAAGCAACGCCGTGCGCACATCATCCCTTGCGCGCTACACAATTGAACTTGATGTCTTGCCGATGGCTTTCAGAGGGCTCCGACGGCTCTTTGCGCCTCTCTCGGCTCGCGCATGTGACCTCTGACGCCTTATGCCTGCTTGGGATGGTTTTTTTCAGGTGCTTCATGTGTGGCAGCAAGCCATTTCCGACGATCTATGCATCGGTGCAGTCGCACGCAAGAGTAGTCCACAAACAGCTTGGACAAGGGGCATTGGTAAAAGCTAAAGCCTCTAAAGTGACTCAGGCTCGCACCCCAGCAATGAGCTTAAACACGGCTTCGACGAAGACAGGCGCTACCTAAAAAATTGGCGCATGTCTGGAACAGAAGAGCGGCAAAGCCTGGACGAGCCCTTACGCCGGAACCGTTCATGCCCCAAATCAAAAAAACACCTCATCGGAAGACAAGCAAATCAAGCAAATCTACCTACTGACAGCTGAGGTTGCAGACGTTGTAGGGTCGGGATTTCGGGAATTCCAAGTTCAAGGCCCTTCGTACAGAGTTGCTTCAGCTTCATAAGAGGCTTGCGACATATGCCCACCAGCCCCACGAAGAATGCCAACAGAAAAGAAGCCTTGTATGCCTAAGATGGAACGTCTATGAAGTACGACGAAGTGCAGGTAGGTAGCATGCGCACTCGAACATGCAAAAGAAGCCCATGCCGTTCTATGGGATGGAACGAACAACACGCAACAGCCCCCAAGATGATGAAAAGCATCCATCTGATTTTGACCCTAAACCACCGACATTAGCTATAGTTAGCAATAATTATCTAGAATTAGCTACACTTAGAAGCTATAATTAGCTATAGTTAGCCACCGGCAGCAGGATGCGGCAGGCCTGCAAAGCGTGGGGCTGCAGCATCTGGCCGATGGAGGCCTTGTGCTCATCCATATACCGCCTGCAAGCATGGTTTCTTCGATTGGGACGTTCCCCCTTTTTCTAAGAGTTCTGAAAAGGGATTGTAGTACTCCCGATTATAATCCCTACTAATGTGAGAAAGGGCCTGCACAAGGTCCTGTGAAGGAAGTAGGGTCAGTTTCTAGGGAGGCAAGATCTCGCAAATGAGTGTCCCAGTAGCTGCCGTGGAGGATTCCGCATCAAATCTGCAAAAACCTTCGAACCTATGAGGACACATAACATGGATATTGCAGCACATGGTGTCGCAATCTTAATTGGAATACCTTGTGCTGTGTTGTGGTGAAGATGTAATCCGAATATTACAGCATTGAACCGTGATGTCTGATGCTGATGTGCATATGTGCATTGCACAGCACTCGGCACGTGCCGATTCGGCAGGATCACAGTGAAGGCTACCAGGCAAGCACTGCATGGGTGTTGCCAAGGGATTGGAAAACTCAGTTGAGCAAGAAACAGAGGACGGGCTTTCTGAGCTACCGGTGTGACCACGGTTACAACCGACGACATCGATTATGCTCGCTATGCGGTGCAGGGCAAAGATGGCATCAGGCAGCATTGAAAGGAATCGAGCGTCTAGTGCTGAAGTCTCAGCGACTGGGGGCGAAGCCTTCCGACTTTCTTCGTCTCCGCGATGTGCGAGAAAACCGATTCGATAAAGGCAATGACAGCCTTTGGACATCTGCATTGGTGGCTGCAATATCCATCATGGGTCTGCATGGATTGAGATTTCACACTGTTATCGGAATTTGCATTACAAAGCACTCTGCATCTTACACTCCGACCTCAAATTCGGCACCTTATTAAGTTCGGAGGGTGACACCTCCACCTGTACAGACGCAAAGCTTTGCCTCGACTGCTTCCTTTTGCTGCACAAAGATCACGACGCTCCTCGGTCAGGGTTGCAGAGTAAGGGAACATGTCTGCGATCCACATCTGATGGCCTCGGATCGGTGCTGAAAAGTCAGGCTGGGCCTCTGTTTATCCACAAAACGCTGAACAACACGGTGCCTCACATCCATAACGCAAGCAGCCATAGTCAGGAAACAGGGATGGCCAAGTCGGAATTCGAGAGCGAAGCAACCAAAGCACAGGAATGGGGGGCGCGGGCGAACAAACGAGTCTCCTGTCGCGACAAGGCCCGAAGGCCCACATAAGTTACTGCTCTAAACCATCCCTACCAGCGGAACTGCTCGGCAGCTCAGGCGCCACAGGCGGAGCGTCGGCAGAAGCGTCGGGGCCTTGACAACCAATAAGGGCAAGGCTTATGGCTGAAGGTTGAGGAGCTGCGGCTGAAGATTTTGGAAACCTCACTCTGGGGAACCTGTGCAAAAGACCTTCAGAAATGAAGGAATGTTCCTTTTAGGGCTTGGGAATTTCTAGATCGGAACCTGTCCAAAACCCCCCGACTTGCAACCTCTTCTCCAGCCGCGACAACAGCTGGCGGTGTGCGGGCGAGTATCAACGTAACCACGTGCCCCCTCACCCAAACTACCCAAACCCAACATCGACAGCACATCCTGAGGCACCCAGCATGTAAAACAATTGTTGGTGCAAAGCGCAGGTACCTCCGTTTGGCGTGGCTTCCCGAAACCCTAGATCCTATTGCCAGAAGACTCGAGCTGGGGATATGGGACACTCACTCTGCCTTGCAGAACCCATTGAATGCATGCCATAAGGTTAAATTTCTATGGAGGTTCTTTTGAAGCTTTTCTCAGTTTACTAAGGGCTTGGCACTGAGGATTCTGGGCTCAGCAGCGCGTGACTAAAGCAGGCAGTGGCAGGCAATGAGCCCCTTCGCCCTCAGGAATAAGGCTTGTTTTGCAGCGCCTCTTTGTTTCAAGCACCAGTCAGCAGCAATCTCTCAACTTGCACTTTCGGGCTGCCGTATGCTCAAGGCATCCCGGCGGTCAGAGTGTAGGCTTCCCATGCACAGAGATCGCGCAGATGGCCCAAGCCATGCAGGTTACGGAGAGCTCATGGAACCGTGAGTTGAGAAAAGTCCGGCGGTTGCGACAAGCTCATGCCCGACAGCAGGACAAGATGTTGATATGCAGCCTCAAAGAGCGGGTTTTACACCTCGAACTTGAACTTCAACAGGTTAAGAGCCTTGTGGCTCACGCTGAGACAGGGGTGGTGGGCAATGGCGACATAGACAGCGTGAGATTGAATGTTGGACGAGGACGAGGTGTGCCGGGGGGAGGCAGGAGGACACTCCAGATGATGGATTATGAACATACGCAAGCAATCGCTCCGGAATCAGTCGCTTGCCGAGGTACACCTGCATCACAAGAGTCAGCCGTTCTGAAGCGAAAGCAAGCCGAAGCACCTTCGGTACGGAGCTCTGGGGTTCAGACTGTGACGCAGGATGTCCGCCGACATGGTCAGACGTACCTGGTGCAACCTCTGCGTGATAACCTGTGGACATGGAAGGAAGCCGCGATGTCACTGACGGAAGCATCATCTCCATTCCTCGAGAGCTTTTACTACAACATGTATGGAGACGGATGGGACGGTAGCGCAAGACAGCACGGCGAGTTCTACATAGGATCCGATAGTGATAGTGAGGAACAAGAAGGCCTTTCGATGGAAAGATCTGAGGCCAGCGCTGGTGGCTAGGGCGGCGGGAGCTGATGATGCACTGCAAGTGATTTCGCAGGCCTCGCCCTGCGGTCTGCGAAACGGGGGGTGTTTTGCAGCGCCTCTTTGTTTCAAGCACCAGTCAGCAGCAATCTCTCAACTTGCACTTTCGGGCTGCCGTATGCTCAAGGCATCCCGGCGGTCAGAGTGTAGGCTTCCCATGCACAGAGATCGCGCAGATGGCCCAAGCCATGCAGGTTACGGAGAGCTCATGGAACCGTGAGTTGAGAAAAGTCCGGCGGTTGCGACAAGCTCATGCCCGACAGCAGGACAAGATGTTGATATGCAGCCTCAAAGAGCGGGTTTTACACCTCGAACTTGAACTTCAACAAGGCTGTGCATTCCCCGGTCCTCACTACACGGTTATCACTGTTATCACTACTACTGTACACACGTACACAGACTCGCACCAGATAAACGAAATACGCAGCCCAAAAACAGGCACTGCTTTCCAACTCGATGTGTACAGAGTAGGCAGCGCACCGCTCAAACATGCCGAAGAAGTCTTCGACGAGCTCGGTGATCTCCTCGGAGTCTTCGAAGGGGTTCGAAGCAAGGGAGGGAGCATCGCAGGCATGTCTCTCCAGTCGGCATGAAACAGCAAAGAAAGCAACGATACCAGCCTGCTCCCGATGCTTCTGGACGAAAAACACTATAGACCGTGATCCAACACTCAAGTCACAGCGCTTAGGGTCAAGGGTTTCATATCTCTTCCCAGCTGACACTAGCATGCGACCGTTCACGTTTCGATGGCCATCCGTCAGAACGGCCGCAAGAAGCTGATCACAGCAGACCGGTCCTCCAGCTTGCTCTCTGAATTTATGAGACACCTCAGTAGGCAGAGGGGGCTGTTCTAACGTTCTAAACGTTGCAGCAAAAGCGACTCCAAGAAGCAGAGACTTTTCTAACAGCCCCACACCAAGCAAGGGGAGACCTTCGCATACATTGCTCCCCTCTAAGACAGCTGGGTGCCCAGGCTGCAGGCCGATGCCGCTGAGCTGGTTAAAGAGCTCTGTCAGCACCGGAACAATCTCAGGATCGCCAGCCTGGCGCGTGGTTTGGCATCATTGCCTGGCTCTCCCCAGCCAACGAGGTCGTCAGCCAAAACTAAAGCAGCCATGCTGCGCAAGTGGGGCGCTAGGGAGCTGCTAGGGTACGGTTTGCAATTGATCAGCCTGCGCTTGTCCTGCCTAGCGGAGCCTCGACTGCGGCTCATTGGTCTAACCTGCTTTTCAGTTTGGTTAGGGCCTTCGCGCTGCCAGACCAAAAACCTGAAATCAACTGAATACCATCCTTTGGCTGATGCAAGCCTGCAAGCAGACTGCCTGCTGCTCAAGCAGCGACGGCGCTTCGGCCAGAGAATCCGCGCTCGCTGCAAAACAGAAAGAGGCTGCTCGATACTTCTAGGCCGCGTGCATGTCGTGCGCGTGCGCACCAAGGGGAGGGGCTTTCAATTCCTTTAGTCCCAACGTCAGAGCCCCGTAATGCAAGGATTGTTTGCAGAATCATCCCGAACCCGAAACCGTCCAAAAGCCAGTTGAACCATGCACTAGCGGCATAGGTGTTCGCCAGAATCTCCGCCGAGTACAAATAGGAGGAGTGCTGGTGCCTCGTACGGAACAAGGCTCAAACGCCTGAAACTCGACCCGCTGACTCATCAAGAAATCCGGCGGGCGGTCCAACTCCACGCTTGGGTTGCGGGTGCAGGGCTTCAGGGTTTTGATGTAAACCTGGGACTGAAGCTCTTCTTGTGTAACTCTTGTATATCTTGGATGGCTTCATGTTCGGCAAGCTCTAATCCTGAGGAGACAGGTCGGAGCTGCAAGCCCAACCAGCAGCCACGTTTCGCCACTCAAAAGCTGCAAAGGCCCAAAGTCCCCCAAGTCCCAAGATCCCCAAAGCCCGCATACCCCGAAGGCAAACCACAGCTGGCGTGCAACTGCAGGAACAACTTTGACAGAGCTTTTGATCAGCCGCACGTGACTCTGCAAGGCCTACATCGGATCAATGCAGTGTGCCGAAGCTTCCACGACCGCTTGAACAGACGAGGCGTGTTTGGGGGTGTCCACACTCCGATGCAGAACCATGAAGGAGTTGGCACTACCTGGGTCGTAGCTGACATGCTGTAAAAAGAGGGTTCAATGTACTACAAGAAGCAGTACCGCCCCTAAAATGGGGGTTTACGAAAATAGGTGACCCCTAAAATAAACCCACAAATAATAGGATTCCTGATTATCAAGACCCCAAAAAGGCACCCCTAATGTCGGAAACCACCAAATGTTTCCAACAGTCCAGCCACGACTTTGCTTCAGGTGCTGAATGATCTGCCTGTCTGGGAGCGGATCCGGAGCACCCCACAGGTTCTGCCAGGATCTCTCCTTGCTGGCTCTGATTTGGGATCTAGGGTTTAGGGTTTAGGGTTTAGGGTTTAGGGTTTAGGGTTTAGGGTGCTCAGGGCTAGGGGTTAGGGTGCAACACATACCCTCTGACCCTTTGAAGGCTGCACTAGAACATGTGCTCTGGCAAGTCTCCATGATCCAGCCCCAAGGCCAGTGACCATGCTTGCTCATGGTCTCCACCAGCCTTTTGCTGTCGGAGAGGGTCACTCCAAGATATAGCTAGTGCTTGTTTTGCTGTAGGCGTTTCTTTATTGCAGTGTGTTGATGCCTCTTGAGATTTTGGAAGTCCAATGACAAGGAGCTGTTGGTACACAGGCTTGCCGAAGCGCTGGATGGCCTGCCTGGTTACCATGCTTTCTGAGCAGCAGATGAAGTTGTTGGCCATGTGAAACCGCGCGAAGGCCTCTCAGAGCTGCAACTCTTGATGTCTGCCACCCTGAAGCCCCAAGAAGCCCCAGTCCGAAACCCTGAAAACCCACCTTGCCTGCAACCCTAAACCCTAAACCCTCAAACCCACCACTCACAAATTGCCTGCTCAAACGTGAGGCTCCAGAAGGCCCCATAGATCAGGTCCAGCCCTGGCATCTCTTCCTGTAGCCTCGAGGGAAGATCCGCCTTCCAGACGCAGTTCTTGTCCTTTCTTCCAGGGTTCGGAGCGCATCTCCTACCCCAAACGGATTTAGGGTTTAGGGTTTATGCAGGTTAATGCTTCAGACAGCTAAGAAGTTAACAGTTTCCACTGCCATGGGTGAGGTAAGAGTCAGAGAGCATGGTCACGTTCGAAGGCGTGTAAGTTTGGAGGAAGTTCACATCAAACGGCTCTGCGTGATGCCACGCTGTCTGATCACCGTGGAGGAAAACGACCACATCTGGCAAAGTGTCCTTGCATGGCAACCAGGCCCTTGCAACTTGCAATGCGGCAGGAACAGGTTTACCATGATTATCCTTGCGGCTCTCGGGTCCTGAAACCCCATTCCGAGAAGCCTGTCCTCTGAAGTCTGTCTCTCTGGAACCCGAAACCCTAGACCGAAACCCTAACCCCCAAAACCACCGGACATCCAGAACACAATCAACGTCTTGGGCCGGGCATCGTAGTGGTCTACGATCCACTGCAGCCAGGGCAGGGACTCGCCAATGTTCCGGGGGCTGCTGAAGCCAACCTTCGGGTACAACACAGCCCGTTCTTTTTTTCAGGGTTTCGGGTTTGGGGAATTCCTACATGCGAAGTACAAGCTTGACGCTATGACACTCAAGGAACCTCTTAGCCCCCACATTGGCCCTTCGGAATCCAACACAGCCTGCCTGAACCCATCTCTCCAAACAGACTGCACCCTAAACCTACTGGGGAGTAGTGGAGTGAATGTCATCGCCTGGGCACTGCACGCTTTTACCCAGGTCAGGAAATGCGCGGGTCCACAGGACGCACAACGTCAGGGAGAGCTTGTTAGGGTCGAGCAAGATGCACAGGGCCGGACTTCAGGTGCAACGTTGAATTGGAAACAGGCCAGGTCGGAATTCAGATGGACCATGCATGAATTCATACGCCAACGCCGAAAACTCAAACTTGAAGTGGATGAGGTTGCGATGACTAAAGTACGAGCAACAGACAGTACTTCGCAACTTACCTTCCACGTCTCACCCAGCCATTTGAAAGGTTCTGAAAGTGATACTGCGGCGAGTCGTGGAGATGAACACATGTTTGCCGTAGAATGTCTTTCCACTGCCAGGGAGGCTTGCTAAAAGTCGCCTGAAAGAGTGTCGGTGACCTCTGCGACCGCCCTGGCCAGTTTCATACAGGGCTGATTATGAATCAGGGCACGTGCATGTTGTGGGTCACGTCCCGAAGTGTGGATCGTCGGCCGCCAGACTGGGTGTGAATCGGCGTGCCTTCAAATCAACTGCAGCCGCCCACTCTAACGCTGCGCGGGGAGATTGGAGGTCTGGCGGCACCTTTCTGCGTGGGCAGCCGACCTGTGCAGCTTGCTGAGCAAAGACAAAGGGCCGGAATGATGGTGTGAAGCAGCGAGTTCACCAGCTGTAGACCCCCAACCCAGATATATGCGAAGCCATTGCGCCGTTGCGCTCGCGCTTGCTGCTGTGCGCCACAAGCAGTCGAGTGGAAAGAGATGCTGGCACTGAGTTTCCTTTCTTCGTGAAACTAGCTTTGTTCCTAATGGTTTGCTACGAGGCACGCAGTGGACTTTGGGCTGGAATCGAGAGCCGTCGGCAGAGACGTTGTCACTGTTCGGGCACGCACCGGATAAACAAAGGCTCTGCTAGCACGTATCAACAGACATGTATGCTCTGGAGCATGGACGAGCACGGAGCTATCAACGGACGCATTGACAGTCCGATGCTCTGGTGAGCACAGATGATCTTGGAAGCGGGTGCCCCGGCAGCATTGTTTGGACTGGACTAAGTTAACCTGTAAGCTTTTGACGTTTAAACGGTCTCGTAATCCGACCCTTCAGCCCAGAACGAAACCCTTGCCAAGGAGGATGGGGCTTTACGGTGCAGCCCACAGTCTGCCTTGGTCTTGTGTGGTGTCAGGACAAGAGGCCCGGCCTCCTCCGTCGCCAGGTCTCTCAGCCAGTCCTGCAGACCCACATTGTTGAAGGCTGACAGCATCGGCTTTTCTCACAAGGTCTCAGGGCCCACATCAACCCGACCCCAGGGCCAAGAGAGATTGGGAGGCACTTTTCCCTGAAAATCATGAAGCCTTCGTTCCTATTTCCTAGACCCTGTGTCGCAGGAGAAGGGCTGCGGCATGGTTGGGTTTTTTTGAGTCGGAGGAGGGTCTTTTGCGCTTGGCGTGTATATGGGAGGGCTGCTAAGCTTGTCGGTCTTGAGGGCTTCTGGTTTTTGCCCTTGATGTCCAGCTGCTTGTGGCCGAAGTTGTTGACCACGGCCACTCGATGGTCCGTCGACCGCGCAGCAGCGGCCAGCGAGACTGACCGCGCAGCAGCGGCCAGCGAGACAAGTACATGGAGTATCCTCATGAAATGAGACGAAATGGAAAGCATGATCTTGGGCCACGCCCTGCGGCAGAAGGAGCTAGGCTTGGGTAGCAGGGCGGCATGCCACGATCACCCTATCGGCATAACGGCGGATAATAGTTGGTCGGCTCAGGGAGTTGTGCAGCGCAGCACTTGACCAGCTGAGGTTGCCCTACTGGCCTCCAAAACCAGCTCCTAACCATTCATTTTTTACAGGCTCCACCCTACTGAGGCCAATGCTGCTGGAAGGCCGTGACCAAAGTCCGTGCCACATCCGGCACATTGGGCTTAAAGAGGTCTGGCACCTCACATGAGTCGAATCCGGATCGTTTAGGACATCTCCTACTCTGAGGTCTTCGTGGTCTTCGTCTCGACCCCCAAACTCTGTATCTGCCTCTTCTATCTTTCTCTCCATTGCTTTCTGGGGGGCTCAAAGCCCCCCTCGTATGCCCCCAAGAGCTGCAGGCCAGGGCACGCAGCGCATCGAGTGCTTCAGCAGTCTGCAACTCTTCTCCACGAGCTTCGAGTCCCCGGGGTGTTGTGCCTATGGCCAGGGATAGATCCCACTTGTTCGAATTAGGGGCCTCTTTTCAAACTCTACCTACAATCTACGTTTCAAAACTGAGAGTTTGTTGAAGGGCGTTGTTGCAACAGACCATTGTTTCCTTACAGGGCTTAGAAGGGTTTACGGTATACTTATTCCTTTTGAGAAGAAGGCCCTCCTTCCTTGTTTAACTCGAGGGCTCTCGCTCGGGCCAGGCTCTAGCATCATGTCGGACAGGAGCAGACGGCTGCAGGTTTACGGTTTAGGGTTTAGGGCTTGTTCTTGCGGGTTGTTTCTCGGGGTTCAGGGGTTTAGGGATTTCTACGCCCTTTTCTTAAAACCAGAATGAGCATCTTCTCTCGCCGGATGTGAGCCGCAGCAGGCCCCCCGAAAAGTCGAGCCCGACCCGGCTCCAAGAAGACTCCCACCCAAGAGAGGCTACAAGAGAAGCGCTTAAGACACCCCTCGATTTCGCAAGACCGATGCGCATGGGACACAGACGAGTGACGCGGGCAAAAACACATAGCTCATCCACGTAATCCACAAAAAATAAATCGCGCGGGAAAGTATCACAAATCACCATCCGCTAAGCTGCGAAGCCTCAAGTCCTTGATTTGCACAAACAACATGGCACGTCCACACACATCCGTGAAACGTTCCTCGGCTTTTGCAATGCCGATGCGCGGGACGCAAGCAAGCGAGAAAATATGCCTACGGACAAAAATAAAACAGAGTGTGTTTCTTCCTGACGAGACTTCAGACGCAGTGCCGCCCGTCTCGAGCGCTGTCGGGAAAAACCTTAACCCCACAGACCGGCCCTGGGTCTTGAGCAACCTCAATGCATCATGTCACTGCCGAAAGTTGCCTTCCGCGACGTTTATGCTTCAGGGTCAGGCTTTCTTCAGCCAGCTACTTGGTTCTTTGGATGTGGAACCTGCTCCTTTGCTAGCATGGGGCACCTTCCCTCCCCTCCCCATGGCAGGGCACCCTGGCCACTTAGCCAACCTCTCCCAATTTATGCTCACCCCCAGCATCTTGGGAACCGGGTGCCCGGGCCAAGCACTGCCGGATGACCGGCCAGAAGGTGTTGCTAATCAAAATGCCCACGCTGACCGCCTGTCCAACATCTTCCAGCATCCCAGGCAAAAGGATGGCTAATCAATCGAAGCCTAAGCTGAGAGCGGCCGTGCTTTTAAGCAGAGGTTCAGGATTACACTGGGGCATGCTTCCAAAAGAAACTGACCACAGTTACTATGTGTTGGGGTGCCCTTTCTCCTTGTTGTCCCAGCTGGCAGCCGGCCTTTGCAGTGCCATCTCGGACGTGGATCTGCCTGGTAGCGCTTTCGTCCGGCGAGGAACAGCAGCGCAAGAGCAGGTTTCGCGAGGACTACATACGACCGTGGCGCACATACACATACACACACACACACATGCTCATTGGAAGGGTTTCATGAGGGTTCTAGGATGGATCAGAGTTTAGCCCTCCAACCACGTTCCGTCGCTCGACATCTACTGGAATCTACTGTCGCATCGCGACTCATGCAGTCTTGGTGCCTGTGTTGTCTACATCGCGTGCCTGAACCACTCTCGGAACCTTAAGGTCCCAAAACAGGAACTGGGGGCACACTTGCTAAGCCATCCGTCAATAGAAGACCATACAACCTTCACATTGCTGGACCCTTTTTTGGCCTGATGATGGTCGTAAGCCGGTCAAGGATCTCACTCAGCACCTCGGTTCTAAAAGCTTGTAGCCTTGGGGTCCTGCGGCCTGGTGGGGTTTTCCAGCATGTGTTTGCGCAGGAGAACCCTGAACCCTGGGCAGGCTGCTGGCCTGCAGCAACACCCAATTTAGGGGCGGAAAAGATCATGCAACAGAACCCACCTTAACATGACAGAGCTAGCACGAATGTCCACAAATCTGGGCTCGAAGGGATTTGACCGGAAACCCGGTTGCTTAGCCCCAAACTCTCCTTGCTGAACCCTTGCGGGGGCCAGGGCCTTCCGACCGAGCCCTCTAAACCTATGTGATGAAGGGTTTAGGGTTTAGGGTCTAGGGTTTATGGTTTAGCGTCTAGGGTCCAGGGTTTAAGGTTTTGGGGCTTCTGGGGCGAACCCCTGACCCTGCAAAGCACTATTGCCGAGCGCTTTTGTTCTGTACACATCTGCTGTTGGTCCTGTGTTTTGGCAAAGTCCGCGCGGAGAGGAGGACTCAAGGTTTCTCAGATGAGCACAGGTTGCTGAAACCAGCCTGCATCGAAAAACTCTCTCCCAATGATTGGGCTCAATGTTAGTTGAGGCCCCAAACCTTGCACCTCCGCTTCACGCTGCCTTGAAGACAAAACAGGGCATGCTCGCGTGCAGGCCTTAAGAGCACCTGAGATTGAAAAGGTTCTTGTGGCTTTCTGATTCTTTTGTTGCGGAGCACCGACCCTTGAAGCACGAAACCTTTCTTGTCTTAGCCCCAAATCGTCTCCCTTTCTCTCTATCATTCTCATTTGTTTTCGCCTCCTTCTCTTTTGAGGATGCACTGAGAAGCTCTTCAGCTCCTTTTGCAGGCGTCGGCCTGGGGTCAGCGCTTGGCTTATCCCCTTGAACACGGCCCAGATCACCATCGGCTTTC